AAATCCTAGATCCGCCATTGATTTAACAAATAAAAAACAGTTTAAATATAATTTCGATGTCTTTGTATATTATTTGGAAAATTTCTTTTTTCATACTATTAGATAATTGCTTGATATTTTATTATGAATAAAAGAATAGAATAAAAAAGATTTGTACAAATATATGAACTAATTAAATACGTTCTCCAACACGATCACCAGAATCAACAATTCGAAAAGCTTCGAGAAATTCATTAAAATCAATAACACCATTTTTATCAAGATCAATACTTGTTGCTAAATCCATTATTTGTTTTTCATCAAATGGTGATCCATTATGATCACCAAGAAAAGAACATACATCAGTAAATTCTTTCATGGATATAACACCTATTATTAAAATTAATTTGATTATTTTCATACAATAAATAAATATTTACCTGAATTATCTTGATCAATTGCTCGAAAGACTGTTTCAAGTAAATCTTTATTCCGATAAATTGCTTGACATAGACTTTCTCGTCTCTAAAAATCATAAACAATAAAAATACAACACAGATAATATATCAATAAATTTACGTGAGTCAATTTCGAATTATATGCACATTGTAATTCTTGTGAACGAAATGTTGATTCATATAGAACAGATCCATCTAGATCAATATCAACAAGACGTGATTTTAATGTTCGCCAGGGTAAGTGTAAATCGAGAACATTTGTAACTATATCACACCAATCATTCAAAGATAAACGACCTAAATTAAATAATAATTTATAACAATAATATAGAATGCGAAGACAACCAACGAGAACATTCAAGTACGTCATTTTGTCTATCAAAGGTCATGTTGATATTTATTCTATACGTTACATCAATTCTATTAGATGTAACGTCAATCACTTCATTTTATACTTTGTAACCTGGAAATCTCGTTATTTCAATTAAAAAATTTAAACATTAATATCTATCTGCAGATGTAATACATTGAGTATTGTCACGCAATGCATCATTAAAGAAGGATTAAATGAGTGAGTATTCATACAATTTACTTCCTTGGAGCTTCACAATTATATAGAAAATATTCATAATGATATAACTTTTGTTGCTTACCAGTTTTTGATGGATCTTTAATTAAAAATTCTTTCATAAGTCGACTTTTATTTGAGCTGAATTTTTCCATAAGATTTCGAAGAGCTTGTTCTTCAACAAACGACACTCTATAGTGATAAAATTATTTTATTAAATCTCTCTCTTTTTTTTTTTCTTCTTCTAAAATAACCTTTCCCATAATGTTAATGGTTTAACTGTAGTTTTCGTTGCCATAAATTGTACAATAGATAGTGGTTGATTAGTAGCTATTTTTACATAAGCACCTCGATTGCTACCTGCTGCATAGTAATTTGATGCTGAAAAAATTGTTAGCACCTATCAGATTATAATTATAAGAAACTACTTTGTTACATTAACGAATAAAAAAAACCTTTTTATCATGACAATAATCAAAACCTTCTTCTTTACATTCATGTGATCGAATAAGTAAACTCCAATTATGTTTCTCTAAAATTTTCTTTGTTATATCTGGTCCCCAATAACAACCTCCACCACGATATGTATTTGCTTCACAACCATTTGTCTGTTTTGGATCACTCCATAATAAATCAAGCATTTGTCTCCATTCAAGTAATTGTTCATTAGATAAACCATCTATTTGATATTGTTCATCATTGTCTGGTATAATAAAACTTGGACTTAATATTGATACATACTAAAATCAAAAAAAAATGTAATAATAAGAAAAAATCTTTTATTTTAAAATTACAAACTTTATTTCGTTTGATTTGATTTATTTTATTTAAATCAGTTATATCACTAATACCACCATGAGCAACAAATATATGATCATCAATAAGACTTGCAACTGGTAACCAACTGTAGATATTTTCGAATAGAAGTAAAAGTTTCGTTGCTTGACTTTTATATTTACGTATTATTTCTTTCATAAAACCATACCTTTAAATACGAACATGAAATTAGTTATATACATGAATACTATTTCGAAAGTATGATGATATTTTATATTTACCTCAAATTTAATACATGATCTTCATGATTACCTCGATTGAAGTAAACATTATTTGGATAGACAACAAATGCGACACTGATTAAAATAAATAATTCAAGACTATGAGTTCCTCGATCGACAATATCACCATTGAATATATATGGATTTTCATTGGATGGTAAACCATTCTATACAATAAATAAATATACGCAGATTTAGGATTAATCAAAAAATTACTTTATGGAATATGAGCATTAAATCAGATAAATTACCATGTAAATCACCAACAACTGTAACACATTTTGATTGATGTGTTGAAACGACATTTACATTGGGTAAGCGTTTAAGAATTCGTCGAACTTCATGTAATATTAATAATACATATCGCACATGAAGAAACTTGAAAGAAAAAATAATTTAATATTAATAAAAGAAATTATTTAACTTTTGACTATAATACTTCTCCGCGTTGTAATGCAAGAATTAATGATTCAAATTGTTCTTTATTAATAGGAAGTTGTATATGTGGTCCTTTGTATGATGATTCAACATAGACTGTATCTGGTCCAGTTGTTTGTACTAATTCAATTTCTTCAGCTAGAGCTAATTTAGATAATTCAAAAATTCTACGAAGAAATCTAAATACCTGATCCTGTTAGACTGGAAGTACGACGTAATACTTTAGCAACAACAAGTGCATCACGAGGATTTTTTGTTACAGCTTGCATAAGATCAAGAAAAAAGTTATAGAGCTAAATATTAATACAATAAAGATAAATTATTCAATTGAAAATTAAGTAAATACTTTAAGTTGATCTTGTTCTCCAGCATATTCAATATTTTGATAAATTGTCCATGCAGCTTTTCGTCGTATTTCAAAACGTGCTTGTTTCCGTCGAAACCATGATTGAATAATAACAACAGCCGCTAAAGCTATGAAAAGAATAATTAATATCTATTGTTTTCTTAAAGAAAAGGTACATACTGACATCAGATTTTTTATCTCTTCTTTTACTTTTTGGTACTGGATATGATTGTCGTTCTGGTTGTGGTCGTTGTTTTGGTGGTGGTGGTGGTGGTTGTGGTTGTTCTAGTGGTACAATACTTCGATGAGGTTTATGTGTTTTTGGACAACAACAACATATCCAACGTTCAGAAAACATTTTTTCAATTAACACATCATTTCTAAAATAAACTTAAGTTTTACAATTTTTTTGTTGAAAAGAATATTCATAGATATCGCATGTTTATTTTCTCTCACTTTTCTTGATCTGACTCTATTACGTATAATCTTCTTCCAGTTGCTTCCTTTTTTTCTTCTTTTTCCTTGTCTATTCCATTTCTTTTCTGGTGCGACTACTCTCACCTTTTCTTTCCCTCGCGTTTCTTTTTCTTCTGTTTCTTACAGGTCTTTTGCATAGTTATGAAAGTGAATATATGTGCATGAATAAACATCATATATAAACTCGCCTCCGCTGTCTTTCATCGACAGAAGACACGATTCTCTTTTTATGTTCTCGTCTTATTTTCATGACTACTGACGTGATTGGTTGTCCATCAGGTTAATCTTTACATTACGTGTATTTTTATCTTGCAAGAAAAAAAGAAAATTAAACGTAATCATATCAAATAATAGGTGTGAAGATTTCTCAGGCTT